TCATCAAATTATTCCACAAGGCATGCAATTTGGGGGGTATATGCTTACTCTATTATTTTTAGCCCAATGGAAATGCGACATGTGGCAAGTTCCAATGGAACTTACCACGCTGGATTGCAACTCTAATAAGTTATTTATTGGAAGCTATGCAATATTACGTAGTAATTAAAAATCAAAGGCAAGTGGGCCAATACAATCCTACCATATAGAGTTTTCTATCCTAAAAGAAAAGAGGTGAGTCCTATTAGGACTTGCCATTTTTAAAGTAATGGCCTACAAATTCTTATTTGGAATGAATATTACCACAGACAAGTTCCACTGAGCTTACCATAGTTCTGACCATGGTATATTAATTCTTTTTAAGAGTGATTATCATGGTTTCAATAAAATGGAAACTTACCAAGTTTGGTAAGATTAAGGTTGATTCAGCCAGATAAAGGGGAACGTGGGGTTAATAATCTCCTTATTTTTAGGAGACTTCAATAACGGTTTAGCCAGGTCAGACAATATTACTTAAAGGAAGGATACGTGGGAATTTGATTAGTTTATATAAGTATATATATACAAATATATATATATATATATATATATATATATATATATATATATTTACTAGACTTAACCCACGATGCAGTAACCACTGAGAAAAGGGAGTCTATGGCGCTAGGGGTTCTAAATTCAGATGAGGTAAGGCTGAAAGGAAGTGGGCTTTAACCACAACCCATAATGTCAAATCAATAGAAGAATGGAAGCTAACCACGACGTTATGAAGGTCAGCCTAAATTGAAAGAGGCGTGGTCCATGGAAGGAAAGGGTGTGGGATGATTTTTATCAAGGGTTGAACCTTTGGTTCAGAATGCCAAACCTCTTCCTTCAGAACTTCAGAACGGCCAAACTCTTTCCTTCAGAGCGCCAAACCCTTTTTCCTTCAGAACATTTGAACCGTTGCTTCAGAATAGCCGAAGCCTTTCCTTTAGAATGCTAAACCCTTTACTTCAGAACATCCGAGCCCTTAGTTCAGAACTCCGAACACCTTTCTTCAGAACGTCAAAATGGTCGAACCATTGGTTCAGAACGCCTGAGCCTTTGGTTCAGAAAGGCTGAACACCTTCCTTCAGAACGTCAGAACGGCTGAACCTTTGGTTCAGAACGCCTGAACCATTCCTTCAAAACGGCTAACCAGTAATGGACACAGGAAATGGATTGGACCATGACGTTATCAAGCAAGAAGGGGAAGTCTGATTAAGGAAGGTTACTAAAATCTGGAGAACGTGGTCAGTAAACGTGGGGGATAATGTATTCATGGATATATATTTTTACATATATTTTACCCATGATGAAGAAATCGCTGAAAAAAGGGGCCATGGCGTCATGATACAAAGACCAGAATGGAAAGTTCAACTGGAAGGAAGTTGCCCCAAAGCAAGGAGAACATGGTCTACAAATAACTTCTATATACATGTATGATATGTATATGGAATTATACAGGGAAAGGGATTTTAAGGAAGAAAAAGACTACAAAGAATGTTGGACACTTGGGCAAATATAAACACTTCAGTTAAAAGTGGTGGTACTTTATATAGTAACTACCACTAACTGAGGGAGTGGTTGAAGATAATGGATGACAGGGCTAAATCAGTGGAATCATGATCTGAAATAAAGGAGAAGACCACGCATGAGGGAGAAAACTAAGGAAGACATGGGACATGTGGCAAGATCCAAACCTTCCAGGTGGAAGTTCTCAACTGTTGCTGTAACTACTGCCTTTCCATCTGGGCAGTTCCAGAACGTGGGAGAAGGCTTGCAAGCATGTGTTCAACCACCAAATCTACTATCTATCAGTTATAAATCATAGAAGAATATAGTTTTACACTTGGCAACATTTAGAGAAGGCTGAAAGATCATGGAACACTTGGCAATCTGGAATTTGGCTATGTGGAAGTCACTGGAGTTGCCATATTAGCTGCTACATGCATGGAAAGCTCTATAAATAGAGCACTTAGGCTTCACTTGCAAATCTTGTTCAAATCACACAGCAAAAACAACACTTCAATATATTTACATTCATGTCTCTTTACATTCATGTAATGCACCTTCAATATGTTTAATTCAAGTCCTGCACTTATCTTTCTTACTTTCCAGCACCTTATTTTAAAGTCCTGCACTTTCAATAACGCTTTCCTTTCCACTAGCTATAGATTAATTTAGAAGTCCTTTTTTAAGACAAAAAGAACCTTTGATGGTGGTAATTCCAGTCCTTCATACAATCGCCTGATCTCTGCAATCTCCTACTGGATAATTGTTTGGATAGTCACTTTAGAACGACAACAGTTTCTAGCACGCCCGACATCCACTCCAACTTTACAATCACCTGGAAAGTGGAACCTTAATTGGTTTTTAGGAGCCGAACAATTTTTTTATTAGCATTTGTGAAATGGAAAAGCCAAGTGAATCTCGTATATATATATATATATAAAGAGGGTAAAGTACTTTCACACTCCTTGAGGTTTAGCAAAAGAACACACAGGTAAAAGTTACTCATTTTTTGGACAATGACACCCATTCAAGTTTGAAAATGGACAAAGAGACCCTAACAATGATGAATTGACTTTATTACCATTTGATATAAAATTGATGTTTTAATTGACTTAAATACCCTTGGATCAAACCCAAATCCAAACCCAAACCCAAAGCCAAACCCAACCCAAACACAAATGTCTCCCCCTTTCTCTCTGTATGTAAAGAACCCCGCTGCTGCCGTCGCCCCATCATCATTGTCATTGTGGTGGTGCTTGAACCCATTGTCATGGTGGTGGTGATGACGACGCATGTCGCCATGGATCATCATCGGATTGAAGTCACTGTTCTCACCTTCTCTCATCTCTTTTCTCTCTTCCTCCGCCCCAACACCAACAAACACATACATATATACACACACATATATACAGGCGGTGATGGTGAATGGATTTGCGGCCTTCATCCTTCGATTCCGTCGAACCATAGAGCCTCCATCCTTCGAATCCGACCCTGCAATGATTAATACATATATATATATGTACACACCCCCTTTCTATCTCATCCTTAACCCATTCACAACCCCTTTCTATGAATACAAACCTTGATCTAGCGGCAGAGGGATCGGACGACTAGCTCGACTTATCGTAGTCGCTATTGGGGGATGCGGTGGCACCACTCCAGGAGAGCGGTGTGGGTAGGTGTGGTAATTTTCAAGAAACTAAAAAAACTTCTTTACAGTGACCTAATTTTTTGCAGTATCATTCTCAAATTTGTGAAGTTTTGGAAGTAACTAGAAAATTAGATTAGTAATTAGCATTTTATTTGTTTCAATGCCCTCATAGTTTTTTGTTATTTGGGAATCTTTAATTGCACAAATGTTGGAAGAAATTTGAAATGTTATGCAAATTTTAATGATTATGCTCACTGATTCTCCAGTTTGAGTTTAAAATTCCAAACTTTGTCCAGGCCCTTTTTATCATTTCGTATCTTAAATATGTTAAGTCTCACATATGATGGTGGTATTAGCGATAGTGTAGAAGTGTGCATTTGAAAATTTGGCAGCCATGGATGTGTCCTCATTCGCAGTTGTTTATTATGTTCGATGGTAGAAACTTGGAGAAGGTGTGAAGGGTGTATATATATCATTAGATCTGGGCTGTCTTGATCCTGTATTTGCTCCTGGGGTATCTCATCTTGAACTAGAAGGTCTCTCTTTCTGTGATGTTCTTAACATACTCCATAACCTTCAAGCTGATGCAGATGTGGTTGAGTTCAACCCATAGCATGATACTGTTGATGGTATGACTGGAATGGTTGCGGCCAAGCTGGTAAGAGAACTGACTGCAAAGATATCAAAATGAACCGTGTGACAGGAAGAGAAGAAGAGAAAAAATGAATAAGGGACTATTATGTCATTTGCAAGGTCTGATATTTTGTATATTCGAATTTAATATTGAGGGGTAATTTGTCTTTTCATATGACTTAAGGTCTTGTTTGGATGGAATTTCAGAAGAGGGGGTGTCATTGTCCAAAAGTGAGTAACTTTCATCTGTCTGTCCTTTTCCCAAACCTCAGAGGTGTGACTCTACTTTACCCAATATATATATATATATATATATATATATATATATATATATTGGGTAAAGTAGAGTCACACCTCTGAGATATATAGTTACATAGAAGTCAAGTACCACACTTATCAATTCTATTATTCAGCAGCCTCCACCATTGATTAAGTCAATTAGTCAAAGTCATAACAAGACTTAACGGCAGACGCTGACGGATTTGATAATTGTATGAGTGGGGAAGCTTTCAACAACAATAATACATAATGGAGTATAATTTGAAATTAAGTGAGGGCATTTTTTAGATTTTTTTTTCAAAAAAATGTAGGAATAGTTTTAAGATTTTCACAAAATTTATAAATAATTTTGTATATATATATATATAATGAGCATATTTTAGTGTGTATTTTAGTCTGTCATTTACAGTTAAAACTATTTTATTATTTTTAGATATTTGTCCATGTAAGTACCACTCTTTTACATAAAGGTACTACTCTTGTGAAATCAAGTATCATTTTTTGTATAGGTCATGTCATCAAAATAATAGGCACAATTATATATATATATATATATATATATGGAGATAAAGGAGAAGAAGGAGGACACCCTGAGGAAATTTTTTATTGAGCACTGCAAAGTTCTAAAATATTTGTCAATCTTAGAATTGTGGTTTGCAAGATAGACAAATATTTTGTGGATAGCAATAGTATGAATTAAAAATTTAAACTAATAAAAAGTAAACACCGACTTTAGTATTTTATATTAAAAACCAAGGGCAAATTGATATATGAAAAAGACCAATCCAGTCTCCCGTGCTTTTTCTAGAAAGTAACCTTCATCCAACTCTAGCTTCAGATTTGATTGTTCCCTTTCCACCTCCCCATCTGTCATCCATCGAAGAAAGAAATGAAAAAAATGATGGACAGAGAACAAGAGGAAATGCAATTCCTAGGCCCCTTTGGCATCTACACAGAAGCCTACCAGATCATCCTCTCATGGAGGAAGATCTGCACCCAAATCACTCTAGCTCTGATCCTCCCACTCTCCTTCATCCTCCTAGCTCACATCAAAGTCTCCGAATTACTCACATCTAGGATCACACACAACCAAACCGAGCTACAACAAGCACAAGCCGACACGCAGAGGTACGACAACATCTCCAACATCTCATCCGAATGGACGGCCTTTTGGGTCTTCGAGCTCGCATACACCTTCTTCTTCCTCATCTTCTCTCTCACCTCCACTTCGGCTGTGGTCTACACCGTCGCATGCATTTACACGTCTCGCGAAGTGACCTTCGAGGTGGTCATGAGTGTTGTCCCAAAGGTTTGGAAGAGACTCATGATCACTTTCTTGTCCACATTCTTGGCTTTCTTTGCTTATACCCTAGTTTCTGCAATAATCGCGATCCTAATCATACGGGGAATCACAATTGGAAGTAGTAGCACCCGTTAGCTGATTGTCTTCATCTTATTCATCTTATTGTCTTCATCTTATTGTATATGACTATTGTTTGGCAGTTGGCTATCGTGGTGTCAGTGCTAGAAGACTTCTATGGGTTCAAGGCCATGGTCAAGAGCAAAAACCTCATAAATGGAAAGATGTGGGTGGCCATAGTTATCTTTTTTGTGTCAAGTTTCTCATCCTTTGTTATATATACACTTTTTGAAAAGTTTGTTGTGCATGGAGAGTCACTGATTTTGGTGTATAAGGTTGGATTTGGGATGTTGTGTTTGTCATTTCAGTCTATGTTGTTCCTTTTTGGGTTGATTATTCAAACTATTATCTACTTTGTATGTAAGTCATACCACCATGAAAATATCGATAAGTCAAACCTCTCGGATCATTTGGAGGTTTATCTTGGAGAGTATGTTCCTTTGAAGGAGACGGATGTTCAGCTAGGCAATTCCATGTTTAATCTGCTAATTATGTTTGGTAAGAAATGTTGTAATAGTTGGGTTTTTTTTTTTTATCTTTATATGATCAGGTTTGTGATGTATCATTTACATTTGTACTTAATTAGTATAAATTATAAATATTTTGAAGAAATTTAAGTGCATTCTTCTTCCACATTTTGAAGTACTTCATCCATTTAATTTTAAGTGCTAAACTTTGTATAAATGGGTGTAAATTGAAAAAGTCGAGTTTACTCAAAAAAAAAAAAAAAAAAATTGTTTGTTTCTTCTTCTCCTCCTTCTTGTTTTTAGGATGAAATCCAATAAAATTCACAATTGGATTTTGAGTTGGCCTGCACTTAGGGGCTGAGGGAGGGGTGGGCCAGTAGGGGCCTGGTCCCCCCTCCCCAAAAAATTATTTATTTATTTATTAGTATACATATAAAATATATATATATATATATATATATATATATATATATATGATTTACACCCCCCCCGCCCCCCGATTTTGAGTTGGCCTGCACTTTGGGGCGGAGGGAGGGGTGGGCCCATAGGGGCCTGGCCCCCCGGCCCAAAAAACATTCGGCCGAATCAGCCCTCAAATTAGGGCACCGCGCACAACCAATATTTCCCTCCGCCCTTCCCTCTTGCCCTAACCCTCTGTTCTTCACCTTCTCCCGAATCTCCATTCTCCTCAACCTTCAGGCTTCACACAAACTGACAATCTGTTGGACCACCACTTTGCTGAGGATGCAAATTGCAATTTAGGACATGGTCTGGGACTCTGGAAGACGATTGAAAAGGTCTTTTTTTATTTTATTTTTTTAATTTTTACTTTTTTTTGCGATTTGCCATTCTCTCTCTGTTTTTTTGTTCTTGCTATTTGCCTTGCGATTTGCCATTGTTGCTATATTTCTTCATGATGAATGAAGTTGATTATTTGAAATTTTGCTTTATTTCTCCTTTTGACGGAATTCTTTTCCAATTTTTATTCTGAAATTCAACATCTGAGCTTTAAATGTGAGCTATGTCTGGTCTGATTTTTATTTTTTGCTGTGGTTTTCCAGTGAGAGAGAGTTATACATTTGAGGGGAATTGAACTACAAATCAAAAACATGATGATCTCTTTTATATGAACAGAGAAGTATGGATCGTATGGTCTTTTTGTCAACAACAAATTCTTGCCTGGAACTATTTAATATATATATCTTGATTCCATTCCATGTCTTTGATGCACAAATTAGAAACCACTTTTTATGTTAAAGGACTTGAAGTTTACATTATTCATGAATGCTCGCTACCGGCTACCTGTTTCAGGCCTTGCTTCTGGCTGTGTTTTATTTTTTTATTTTTTATTTTTGAAAAGTGCTTCAGGCTGTTTTTGTTTATATATCAATGATGCATGTCATATGTTTAACCCTCAGAAGTTAGAACTGATGCAATATATAGTTATATACTTACACCATGTCATATACCGGTATTAGTTATAAACACAGATAAAACTCAAAATCTTTTGAAGGCATTATTTATTAAATAAAAACCAACATGGTGTAAATACCATGTTTTTTTACAATCTTCCAAAAAAATTTTAGGAATAATTTGTTGTTCTTGTTGGTTTTGATTAGTGAAGTTAATGAGGATATAGCATTTTTACTTCATAAATGCGAGCTATGTCTTTGTCCCACAATGTTGCACACTAACTTCACAAGAATTTAGGAATAATTTGTTGACATTTTATGTTATTCTGGAAATACTTTTGAATTAGTACCTGTTGATTAACTTGATTTTGAATTAGTCTATTGATTGGCTAAATATATTTTTGTATGCATCTAATCGATCATGAAGTACTTTTGACTTTAAATATTATTATATGCCCCCCCTACATTGAATCCTAGCTACGCCCCTGCCTGCACTCAAATAAAGTTTATATCATTTGTGGGCACGGATAGGATAAAAGAAAGAGTTAGGTCAGCATTCGACGTCCGCATCACACACAACCATGTACCAGGTAAGTCCTGAAAAATATTTTCTAAAAGAAAAGGATTAAGGCAATAGTGTTGGATTAGGACAACTTCAAGTTCACAAAAAGTATCCCACAAAAAATTACCTTTTTAGGAATCTAATTTTTTTTCTAAAGTGTAATTTTTAATATTTTTTATTATAATGATAAGGAGGATGAATGTATAAACATATCCTTTTATAGTAGATCCAGGTGTTTTTTTGAAAAGTTATTAGTTATAATGGTGGGATGCTTGTCATTCGACCTAAAAGTTAAGAGTAATGATACTCTGTTCGATCAAATTGGCCTACTCTTAGTTAGAATCTTACGTGTAATTGCCATATAATTACCTAAATAGTTAATATTTCTTTGTACGCTAAAGATACCGAAAATAAATAAATAAATAAATAATGGAAAGAAGCCTTTTTGATTTCTCCATAGTGGTATCTTCGTTTCATTCTTTCTCTCTGACTCACTGTTCTCTTTTCCATTTTGCAAAATTGAAAGAAAAACAAAGGATTGAGAAGTCTCTATTGGTTCATAAAATCAAAGGGGAAAATACATATAAACACGTATGTTTGCTTGAAGAGAAAAAAATAAATCCTAATAAGATTGAAGGTATGTATTCATGTTTTTTTTTTTTTTTTTTTTTTTTTTTAACATATATTTTGACTTCTGTATATTGTATCAGTTTTGGGATTTGATTAGAAAAAAATAAATAAATAAATAATAATAAACTTCAAAAGTTCATTACGAAGTGGATCATATATGGACTACTCTTTTAGCAGCTCATATATAAGCAAAAAGTAATGTTAAATATAATCACTTGGATGAACACAAGTTACATTTATCAGAGGATATAATTGTTGGCATCCTCAAATCATTCATTAATTTTATTTCCATTATACTTAGTATTTACCAATATATAAGGAAAAGTTGAAGACAATGAAAACATTGACTTTTGAACATAAATCATATTGATCCATTTATCAGTGTTTCAAGATTTACCAAAAAGAGAGATTTGAAAACAAAAAAATTACCAAACACTAACAATTCAATCATAAATGTTCAACTGTTTGCCTTCATAAAACAACATAAATACTGTATTGAAATCTAAGCCTTAATGGAATTTTCATCATTCATTTGTACATTAGATTTCCACTTTAACATGAAAGTAGTTCTTTGTTGCCAAGAAAAAGATGATCGCACCAGCCGAGAATACAAGCAAGTGAAAAGTAGTTCTTTCCATTTTTTATTTTTTTATTTGTTTTTGCTATCTTTAGCGTGCAAAGAAATATTAATGATTTAGGTAATTATGTGGCAATTGTTGGGAGGGATAACAATAAATAAACACAGCGGAATAACTCTTCTCCCTATATGCAAGCAAATATAGTGTATCTCTACTTTTATATATGCTGAAAATAATAGAAAAGAAAATCAATCACACCAAGCCACAAGAACACAAACATATTTTTATGTAGAAAACTTCCCCAGTGTGAGGAAGAAAAACCACGGGACCTAGTTCAGTTAAAATCTCCACTATCAACTAAATAATGGGTACACATATTCTTCTCTAATCGTAATTAGAAGTTACAATACATCTCATCAAGATATCAACAATCTTAGTAAATACAAAAAGAATTGGAAAGAAAATACCATAAACCAAGTTACTGTTCACAGGTACAAATCACTGTTCCCGAGCTCAAAATCTGATCTCCACCGTTTAGATTTTAACTCATTGAGTCGTGAACCTCTCCTCCAAATTTCAGCTTGATCGGACCACGGATGAAGCGGGATTGGAGGTTTAATGAAAACTGGGCAGTGTGAAGAAAAATTACGTTTTTCTCTCTCTTTTTTGTGTAAGCTACAGCGGATCTCTTCTACCTTTTTATTCTGACTTCCTTAGGGTTATTCACCCTAAAGGGCTGGGCTTTGGGCTTTAATAAAACCTACTTGGGATTTCCTCCATATAGAAGGAAATAAACCTAACAAATCTCCCCCTTTCCGACTATGTGGAGAGAATCGCCATCCCGGTGATCGAACAACAAACTTCAAGCTTCTCTCTTGGTAAGGTCTTTGTCAACATATCATAACCATTATCATCAGTGTGGACCTTCTCAAGTTTAAGTAACTTATTGTTCAACGAATCTCTGATCCAATGGTATCGTACATTAATGTGCTTAGATCTTGCATGGAAACTAGAATTCTTAGCAAGATGAACAGCACTCTGGCTATCACAAAACAACATATACCTCTGCTGCTTGAAACCAAGTTCTCTCAAGAACTTCTTTGCCCATAGCAACTCTTTAGTCGCTTCTGTTGCTGCAATAAACTCTGCCTCTATCATAGAAAGAGCAATACACTTCTGAAGTCTCGATTGCCAACCTACAGTCGCACCTGCAAAAGTGATCAAATAACCCAAAGTACACTTATGAGTATCCACATCCCCTGCCATATCTGCATCTGTGTAGCCAACTAACAATGGTTGTCCATTTCCCAAACCAAGTCTCAAACTGGAAGTGCTTCGAAGATACCTCATGATCCACTTCACTGCATTC